TTAATTCATTCTCTTCTTGTTGGGTTACTGGAATACATTGAGATAATGAATTTTTATTTTTTCTACTAAATACTTCAGTAATATAATATCTTGTCTAGCTTTTTTTGCTAAATTGGCAAAATCTTTTAATTGATCACTTAACTTAGATTCTCCACCAAGACTTTCAAAATTAGATTTTATAATTGTTGGATTAAGAAAATTATTCTTTCTCAAAAAGGCATGAAACCTGTTGCATTCTGTGGATGACTTGGGGCGATTTCTTGGTGTGTTTATCAAATTATCATTATATCCAATTGTATTAAAAAAATTTACACGATTTAAAATCTACAGAACCGTGCGTGACACGGGGGTTTCAATTTTTTATTTGCGTTAAAAAAATGAAAAAAATAATATTATTATATCTTTTACATATATAGCATATATAAAATAACGGAATTAATGTATTATACGTTTTCGTTGGTTATAACTATCGAAATATGGATGATACAATGCTAATTTTGCTGAAATTCGTTTGTTGGGTTCATAAACCAACATATTCTATGTATATAAATTACATATAATTGTTATTGATCCGTCTCTTATGTGTGTACAGTATATATAAGTAAGTATATAAGTATATGTGCATACACACCTCTAATAAATCAATTGCTTCATAGTTCAGGTTGGGAATACGTGATTTTAATGGTTTTGCTGCCCAATTAGGAAAAATTACTTTATAATTTGGTAGGTTGGAAACTCCAGGCCATGTATTTTCATTTGGTGTACCAAGTAAACTTGTTTTATAAAATTTTATGCGGGGCGAGAAGAAAAAAATCATTTAATATTAATATAATATAAATGAATAATTATATATAGAAAAATCATATACCTGAATATTTTAAAAAGTTGATCTATTTCACTGCCACCTAGTTAAAATTTTTTCCAAAAAAATTTTTCTTATAGTTCTTAACTCTTATCATCTTCACCATTACCAGAAATATATTTTAAATGTATACATACCTCTGAATAAAGCGTCCTTTATGGCATGTGTAACCCCCTTTATGACAGTGTCAAAATACTTGTATAGGTAGAAAGCAAAAAAAAGGCTTTAGAACATGAAAATCATTTTCTATATTATAATTAT